TCCTTTAATCCAGCAGTTTATTTCCCTTGTTCACTTGTTCCACTATCAAACATTGTGCTGTGTGTTTTCTCTTAGCAACGATGAGCATTTCCACCATTCAGAAAACTGCTCGGGCCTGGATTTGACTGGTGCCCCGAGTGTTTTCGGCAAACTAGTGAGCACAGATGTAGTTTTCCCAGAGGTATGCAGCTCAGTTAACTTTAATTATTTATAACATTTTTATTTTATTTTTTTTATTTTATTTTTTATTTATTTATTTATTACATTTTTATTTATTTATTTATTTATTTATTTATTTATTTATTTATTTATTATTTATTTTCTTTATTTGTTTGATTATTTTTTATTGATTTATTGATTTTATTTTATTCTATTTTATGTATTTATCTATTTATGTATTTATATATTTATTTTTTATCAGTTAACTTTAATCGCCTCAGAAAAAAAAAAAGATTTTGGAGGCTTGTTTAAAGAAGCTGTAGCGTTAGTCTCCATAAATCTCAGTTACTGCGTGCTGCATCCACAGGTGGAAGCTGCTGTCCAGCAGCTGCTTCTCTCTCTTGATGGAGGACAGGTGGCAGTCGAGGGCTTGAGGGTCTTCCTGATTCTCAACGAGTTCCTGTTTGCGATGCAGAAACACAGGCGGCCGCGCAGCGTTCAGCTCTCTGAGGGGGTCGCTGCAGCCGTGCAAAGTCTCCCCGCCGAGAGCCGCCAGATTTTAGGTAAATTACAGATTATTAAGTGAACTGCCTTAAGGCTGCATTTCTCACAAAAATGCTTTTTATAAATGTTATTTTTCATCCGTTATTCACCTGATTAAGTTGGAAAGTTTAAACACCAAAATACTTTTGGCAGTGACAGTATTTTTTACCAACTACTTTGATAAATATTTAAATTGTCTGCACATTCATGTTGACTCAACAAATATATATATATATATATATATGATTCAAGATACCTTAATAATGATCTCAGAAACTGACAGACCAACCTAATGGCATCAACACTAACCACTATTCTGTGTATACATTCAAATTTCTCAGTAAATGCAAAACATAAGGCACTTTGCCAATAGTTACACTGGGAAGAAATTAAGATAATGGTTTATATTTTTATCAGTTTCTACTCTTTTAATGTCAGCCTGGCCAAAGGGGTAAAGCTGCTGACCACAGACTACTAACCACTAGCTGCTAAATGCTAACCGTTAACTGCTAAACACTGGCTGCTAAATACTAACAGCTAACCATTAGCTAGTAACTGCTAGCTGTTAAATGCTGGATGCTAAATGCTAACAGCTAACCACTAGCTGCTAACTGCTAACCGCTGGCTGTTAAACGTAGGCTGCTTAATGCTAACAGCTAACCATTAGCTGCTAACAGCTAACCACTAGCTGCTAACCGCTTGCTGCTAAATACTGTTTAAAATCCAGTTTAAAAATATAAAAAAAATGTCAAAGACTTTCAACTCACAATAATATTTTTTAATACATTAACAGTGTGCTTCTTTAAATAATCTATTTTACTTTATTGTCATTTTGTAAGTTTTTTAAAGATACTGTAAAACCTGACAATTTATATTGAATTCTAAAAGGTATTAGAGATTTTGTGAAGACTCAAGTCATTTGTTAATCTGTTGTTGGTATTTTACATTAAGATTAAGGGCTATAGGGTGGATTAGTTTGTGATACACTCCTTTTCATTAACGTTATTTTCAGGGGCCTGGTGGGCGTCGCTACCTGATCTCTGTATGTACAGACACCTGAAAGTGTGGAAGACGGCCTTGTCTTTGGTGCCTCCTTGTTACGGCTCAGTCAGAAACATCCTGCATATCCTCCAGAATATGTACAATGTCAGTATTAACACTGCTCCAAAATATTTTCAATCGGTTCATTTTCAATCAATCTTCCATCGAATTAACAATGTTTATTTTTCAGGCCAATAAAAACGGCAAAATCCCTGAAAAAGCTTTCCGCTCGGAGATTAATGACAATATGCTTCAAAATGATTTGGTCCTCTGGCGTCAAATGGCAAGTTAGAGTCCTTTGTATAATTTAATCACTTTTCAGTGCAACAGATTCAATAGTTTGCAGAAAGAATAACTACTGGTGCTTTTTTATTTTCCTCAGGATGTGAATAATCCACCTCTCATCTTTGGCAGCTTCCTTTTTCTCGTGGATCAAAAGTCAAAGCAAAAGTTTTTTGACATGAACTGCAATGTCACTCAGGTGATGTCAGCATTTGATAGATAGATAGATAGATAGATAGATAGATAGATAGATAGATAGATAGATAGATAGATAGATAGATAGATAGATAGATAGATAGATAGATAGATAGATAGATAGATCCAATATAGCTTTACTTATACAGCACTACACACCAAAAAAGGAACAGTGTTGTACAGAATACATAAAAACATAAGAAAAACTTTTTTATAATGACAAGAAAATTATCACACATTTTTAAGAAAAAGTAAAAACCTCTCAATGTGAAGCAAAACCAGCCAGGCCAGCCGACTTTTGTCCAGCTAAACCTGTTTGCTTTGTGCTTTAGAAGGAGCACCAGACTTTTGGGCTTTATCTGAATCGAGCCTCGTTTTTGGAGGACGCCTTCAGACAGCTGGCGGCCGCTCGTCCCGCCGATCTGAAGAAACCCCTTTTTGTGAGTGTTTTCTCATTGATCAGGACTGACCAAAACACGGTCTATCTGCTGTCCGCCAACCATCTGTCCCGTCTCAGGTCTACTTCGACGGAGACCCAAAGATCACAAATGTCTACAGACAGGACTTCTTCCACCAGCTGTTCAGAAACATCGTGCAAGCCAAACCCCACATGTTCCTGCAAAACCAGTCCAGGACGCTGGCCTGGTTCTCCTCCACGGTAGGTCTGGAAGCTAAAGCTAAAGCTAAAGCCGGGGACACATCCATCCATCCATCCATTATCGTAACTTCTTATTCCCTAATGGGGTCGTGGGGAGAACTGGAGCCTATCCCAGTGTCAAGGGGGTGGATCTTGAGGGAGGACTCAGGCGCGGAGATGACGAAAACAGGGTTTATTGTAACAAAAAATACTCAAAACGGTGGAAGTCCAGACAAGGTTAAAAAACAAAGCTGTGGCAAAACTGTGAAAAAACATGGCTTTGGAACATAGTAAATAAGACTATGGCAAAAAGCAAAACCTTACGTGACATGGGGAGACGAAAGATGAGAGACGCAACAAGAAGGACGAAAACGCACTGGCACAGGACATGGGAAACGAGGACTATTTAAACACATGAGGGAGGGGAACCCCAGGTGTACACAATAGGTGATCAAGACGTGACGAGACACCAGACATTCCCCCAGACGTGACACCCAGTAGCCAATGGGGAGAGGCGGGGTCCCCCTGGACGGTCCCCAGTCCATCACAGGGCCACACAGAGACACACAAGGACCAACAACCACACACACTCACACTAAGGGCAGTTTGGAGTCCAGCCAACCTAACATGCAGGTTTTTGGACGGTGGGAGGAAGCCGGAGAGAACCCACAGACACAGGAGAACATGCAGACTCCACCCAGAAAGGTCCTGGTTCCCCCGGGGACTCCAACCCAGAACCCTCTGGTCCTGGTTCCCCCGGGACTCCAACCCAGAACCCTCTAGCAGATTAAGCCGGGGTTAGGGTTACCACCAAATCGTAGGGTTCAAAGTTCACCGCTCACCATTTCTGTTATCACACTATATGACCAAGTTATGAGATCTGACTTCACATCGTACGTCCAAAAACGTCGGACTTGAAATAGAAGACGAAGGCAAACAAATAACTAAGCAGAGATCCTTTTTGTATCTATATACTAAGTGTAGATCCTTTTGGTCCCACTTGTCATGGGATTTTTTTTCTTTTTTTGCAGTTCGTCAGTGAACGGGGCATTTTGTCTCCAACACTAGTTGCTCTGCTCCCTGTGTGTGTGTGTGTGTGTGTGTGTTTGTTTTCGTGATATATGAGGACCAATCTGAGAATACACGCCTTCAATATCAGGACGTGCAGAAATATGAGGACATTTTTCGCGTCCTCATTTTTTCTGAGAGTACTAGAGTGTTCTAGAAGCCCCAAAAATGCCCCTAAACCAAATATTTGTGTGTGTTGTGTGTGTGTGTGTGTGTGTGTGTGTGTGTGTGTGTGTGTGTCTGTGTGTGTCTGTGTGTGTGTGTCTATGTCCCTCGAGAATTACGTCGGGCAATAAGTCCCGTAACCTTCTTTGCAAAGTGCCAGTCCATTTAGGCAGACTATTCTGGTCCCCTGAAAAACAGAGAAAACATGAAATCATGAACGTAGGATCCCTCTGGCTCTGTTTTCCCACCAGGACTCGGAGGAGAGCAGGACAGATTTCTACCTGTTCGGGATCCTGTGCGGACTGGCCCTGTACAACAAGAGCATCATACACTCCCACTTCCCTCTGGCTCTGTTCAAGAAGCTGCTCCACGTGGAGCCCACGCTGGAGGACATGATGGAGTTCGAGCCCGAAGTTGGAAAGTAAGAGTTTGTTTAGCTTTCCGTGTATTTTGGGTTTGGATTTGGGACAAATGGTGGCGGATGAGCTCACAGAGGCGGAAGTAGACGTACTTATACTTTAAAGCCTGATCCAAGAATTAAGAAAAAAGGAAATTACTTTTTTTTTGTTTGAATTCCTTATTTGGCCTTTTAACAAAATATGTAAAAAGAAAAAACAGAAATACATTTTTAATATTAATAATTTATTACTATGCGATAAGTCAAGATTATTTTTCGTGTAGTCTTCTCCCCCCTGTTATCAGGTGTATCTGATTGTGTAAAATTGGATTTTGAGCAAAGTTTTTACCATTAGATTGTGCAAAAGGTGTCAAACACAAAACATTTCAGAAACCGTATGTATCAAATATGATACATTTGGCATTACATGGTTAAATAGACAGATGATCAATTTAAACCCCCCAAAATTGTGTTGGAACCGATTAAAGATGCTTCCATTTTCACCAAACGCCACACATGATGGACGTCAGTCCACAATAGATCCTTATTGGAGTAAAATAAGAGGGTCTCCTCTGGACATTTTGGGGCTTTGCTTTGCTCTGTGATGTGAATCAGCTGTGTTGAAACTAGGGATGTCCCGATCCAGCTTTTTTCCCTTCCGATCCGACACCAATCCCGGCCTATCAGAGCATGTATTAAAATTTAAAGTTATTTATCTACTTACTTAGCTGTCAGACACATGTTGAACAGGGATTTACTCTGATAACAACTTAATGGTTAGGACACAGACCTGTGGGTCAGGAGATGCTAATGCTAATGCTAATGCTCGTGTGGGATCGGACTTTAAAAAAAAAAAACTGGATCTGGAGTCTGGATCTGCATTTTCTCCTGCTGGCCGATCCGATCCAGATCCAGATATCGGATCGGGAAAAGCCTATTTGAAACGGGGAAACTTCTAAAAACAGGAATGAGAAGGACTGGAGTTTAGTTTGATTTCCCCCAGTTTGAGTCCAACCGGCTCTCCTCTGTTTTCAGGAGCCTGCAGGCCGTCCTGAGCAGTGAGGACGACCCCGACATCGACTTCGTGGTCCGTGCCTGAGTGTCAGAAACGTCCATTTGCCTGATTGGTTCTGCCCCTTCTGACTCCGCCCCCTTTGGCATTTCCAGATCCACTGGGACGGGAAAGACGTCGACCTCGATCCCCAGAACCCGGAGAAACCGGTTACACAGCAGAATAAGTGAGTTTTAAGGGGGGGGGGGGGGTCTAAGAGGGGGAGCCAATGATGGATATCCAACTCCGCCCACATCCAAGTCGGCCATTTTGATTATGTCACCAATAGGAAGATCCCAGGCAAGAAAATCGTAGTTGCTTCATGGCAATAAAGACATTCATTTAAAAATAGTGAAATGAATCTTGCAAACACTGAATTCAACTCTATACATAATATTATGTTAAAATAGTGGATGTTAAATAGGTTTGTACAATAAGTCCAAACAAGTTTAACCAAAAAAATATTTATTTCTCACAATTATGAAGGGTGGAGGGTTAGGGTTAGGTTAGGGTTAGGGTTAGGTTTAGGGTTAGGGTTAGGGTTAGGGTTAGGTTTAGGGTCAGGTTTAGGGTTCGGGTTAGGTCTATGGTTAGAGTCAGGGTTAGGATTAGGGTTAGGATTAGAGTCAGGGTTAGGTTTAGGGTCAGAGATAGGGTCAGGGTTAGGTTTAGGGTTAGGGTTAGGGGTCAGGGTTAGGTTTAGGGTTAGGGTCAGGGTTAGGGTCAGGGTCAGTGTTAGGACATCGTTTGTCTTCTGATTTTGTACAGACATAAAACTTTCGTTTCCACCTGAGAAAGCTGCTAGTCACATTACCTAATCAAAATGGCCGACTTGGATGTGGGAGGAGTCGGACATCCATCCTCGGCTTCCTACAGGCTGCAGCTCACTCTGGGCCCTGTTCCCCTCCCCCCCCCCCCGGTCGACAGGGCGGAGTTTGTGGCGGCCTACGTGTCGCACGCCTTCGGCTCGGCGGCGTTCGGCCATTTTGAGCGCGGCTTCTTCCAGATGTGCGACCGGGGGCTGGTGCAGATGTTCGGGCCGGAGGAGCTCCGGGGAGCCCTGGAGGGCCAGGACGTCTACGACTGGGCCACGTTCAAAAAGGCACGGCCCGCCGCCAGAGATGTGTAAAGTACTGGAGTAGAGGAGTGGAGTAGAAGTACAAGTACTATGTAAAAAAATGTACTTGAGTAAAAGTAGAAGTATTCTTTCAACACCATACTTAGTACTGGAGTACTCCATTTTTTTGTACTTAAGTATTGCAAGTAGAAGTATTTCAAAAATTGCTACTCAAGTATCAAAAGTAAAAGTACTGTGTATATAAAAAAAGGGCAATCAAAAATTTGATAGATATTGTTTATATTATTTCAAACGTGTGAAAGACCATACAGGTGTTTTCAAAAACAGAAAACTACATCTGCATTAGCAATCAACAGCACTTCATCTACTATTATTTATTATTCCAGTCAGAATCCTGAGCTGAGCCTTTATGTTAGCATGTAGCATACAGCTAGCCAGCTAGGTTAGCTTTAGCTAACGTTATCATACAGCTAGCCAGCTAGGTTAGCTTTAGCTAACGTTATCATACAGCTAACCAGCTAGGTTAGCTTTAGCTAACGTTATACAGCTAGCCAGCTTGGTTAGCTTAAGCTAACGTTAGCTGCTGCGTCCTGAGTGAACAAGGAAAACTGAACTAGGGCTCATTTTATTATTTTATATATCGTATTTTTTTAACTTACAGCTAGCCAGCTAGGTTAGCTTTAGCTAACGTTAGCTGCTACGTCCTGAGAGAACAGGGAGAACTGAACTAGCGCTTATTTACTAGCTTATATGTCATTGTATTTTTTATCTTACCTTGATAAGCTTCTTCAGATTAGATGGGGAATGTTTGAAGGCTATAAGTAACAATCTTTTGGGAGGATTTTTTTTTTATAGGCTATGCTTGATCGTTCAAATCGCCAATGAGGAGCCAGCTTTCCAAACCGTGACAGCTATCTATCATTACGTTTACAAATCAGTAACGAGTAACGATTCAGCCTGTGAAAAATTGATCGGAGGAAAAGTATTGAAATAATGGAAAATATGTAGTGGAGTAAAAGTAAAAGTAGGGGAAAGATATCTACTCAAATAATGTACAGATACTGCATTTTGGTATTTAAGTACAGTACTTAAGTAGTTTTACTTCGTTACTGAACATCTCTGCCCACCGTCCCCTTTGTTCTGTTTGTGTTCAGCATAAAAACTCTATTTTGTGTGTTTGTGTGTCCACAGAACGCACAATACGACGGGTTCTACTATCAGAGTCACCCCAACATCCTCCGGTTCTGGGAGGTTTTCAACAAGCTGGAGGAAGAAAAGAAGAAAGACTTCCTTTGTAAGTCTTATTTTAGAGGACTTTAATATCTGAAATACTTTTTATTTATTTTATTTTATTTTAATATCTGAAATAATTCTGAAAGGTTTATTAGTATTGATGCTGTTACAGCAGCAACAACTACAACAAAAACTACAAAAAAAAGGCAACATTAACAGTGTTCCTGTGCAACAAAAAGCTAAAAATAATACCTATTATTAGCATTTTAGATGCTTTAATTTATATATATAGGGTTTTTTTTAAACAGACTTGGAAAATTTAGATAATAATTGTGGCAAGGAAGCACAGAGGAGCAAATGGGGAACCTCCCACACTGTATTTTTACCATTTCAAGCTATTCTGTATGCAGAATTAATACTGGTGTGGATCCCTAGTCACTCAGGTTATGGTTTTTTATCTGTTTTAAAGCGGTTTGAGCTCAGATACGACAGGCTTGGTTAATATTTACAGGCTTATAAGGTCACATTTAAAGCCAGAAACAGGACAAACATAAAAAATCCTCCCTTTTTTTTTAAGCTGCTTTAGGGAAACTTAAGCCACCCACAAAATACATATATCCCACATTTGCCTTAATTGAGCTCCGTCTTGTGCTCTGAATGTGTTCAGAAGTCTATGTTAAGTGTTGATTGATAATTAAAAAACAGATCAGAATCAGAATAAGGTTTATTGCCAAGTAGGTTTTTGACTTACAAGGAATTTGCCTTGTTGTTTGGTGCACAACACTTCTATGAGAAGTAAGGAAATACAATGTAGAAATAAAAATATAGAACAGACAAAATAAAACTAAAAAGTACAATCTTTAAAAGTATAGATTTGAGAATAGAAATATGGATTTAAGACTCTCAGGTCATGTTCATCCTCTCAGGTCAAAAAGAGCCCAGAGATTCATCTGGAAAAACATTTCCAAACATCAGAATCAGAATCAGAAATACTTTAATAATCCCAGAGGGAAATTATTTTTGTTACAGGCTCCATAAGTAAAACAAAGCCATATACATATGTACATGTCTGTACATCTATACATATATATATACAAAAAACCTCATATACTATAGCTAGATATATACATAAAAAACTATATGTATACATATATATATATATATATATAATTTATATCATTTCTTCCCCAGTTTCAATCAAACATTCATTTCAATGTGTTTGTTTAGAAGGTCAAACTAAACCAAACTCCAATTATTATTTGATAATATGGGAATTGTTGGGTTTCTGTAATTAACTTCAGAGTAGGGTCTGACCTGCTCTGTTTGGAAAGCGCTGTGAGACAACTGTTGTTGTGATGTGGCGCTATATAAATGAAATTGAATTTAATTGAAATCATTTTAATTTTGTAATGTCATTGTCTGAACGTGTGTTTGGACTGATTTAGTATTCTGTGATTTTGTGTTGTTTTGTCTTCCTGCCTCAGGACGACAGATGTAAACTAGCAACTATGCTATAATCTGGCTCATTTACAATCTGTATGAGATTGTGATTAAACAAAAAACAAAAAAAAACAAAAAAAACAACAAAGATCCCTTCTGCTCCTCAGGGTTCCTGACAGGCTTTCGGAGGGTTCCCATCCTGGGAATGGCTGAGGTCAGGATGACGGTTCGGCTCCAAGGAGTCCTGACCGGTTCCCCTGACGAGCATCGCCCCGAGGCCCTGACCTGCTACTCCTACCTGGAGCTGCCTCTGTACTCCAGCAAAGCCGTCATGAGGAAGAAGCTGATGGAGGCTTTGGACCCAGAGCGAGGATTCAGAGCCGAACGCTGAACCAGCCTCCTTTAAAAAGCCGAAGAGTCCACGTTAAGGCTCTGTTTCTTTTTTGTTTCTAATTCAAGCTAATTTTATATTTATATGGCTGTGTTCAAACATAGTTATTCAGAGCCGAACGCTGAACGAGCCTCCTTTAAAAAGTTGAAGAGTTTCTAATTCAAGCCAATTTTATATTTATGTGTCCATCCTGGGAAGATTCATCTTTATGCGATAATGAGAAATACTGTTCAAATGCTGATTCATTCCTTTTTTATTTTGAATTCATTGGTTTAATTCAG